CGAGTCAGATGAACATGCTGGCACTAGTCTTGACTCGATAACTCCCTCGCAGACGCTGGCTATCGATCGGCCGGGTTGTACACCTTGACCGCAAAAGCCAGTCCCTCCGCGCAAAGTTCAGCCACCGCGGCTTTGTACTCGTCCGAGAGCCTTGCCCCATAATCACTAGCGGAGACGTAAATGCCCTGCCAGCGCGCGACGCGCGGGAGCGCTCGGAAGGCATCGCTTTTCCACCAGCGCGAACGGACCATCGCCAGGACCGCATCTTCACTCTAATTGCTCCCGACGCAATCGAGCTCCAGCTTTTGGAGGCGGGGCGCCGGCGGGTCGGGGTCCGCAGCGCGGTATGTCAGCCGCTCGAAAAAGGCGTCGTCGACGCAGTTAAAACAGCAGTTGAGCTTGAGGTGGGTGAGTGACGGAAAACGAAGGAGCATGTCGCCCAGCGATGCACGACCGAGTCTGCAACCAAAAAATTCGAGGTACTCGAGCGCAGGGCAACGCTGGAGCAATGATGGGAAGGACTGTCCAAGTTCAGGCTCCATGATCACATTTGCCGTTCTGATTATGAGGTTTAGTAAAGAAGGAAATCCGAAATTGGAAAAGAATGGGTTGAATGTGCGGTAATCCAGCATGGAGATCGTCAGGTCATGCAGATGTGGCATCGAAATTACGCTGGTCCGAGAGATGCTAATGTCTTCGTCGCAGACAACACCATCTAGTTGGAGATCAACAAGAGAGCTGCATTGCTCGAGAACGACCAGGAAGTCCGAGGACGCGACGGCGCCCAAACTGAGTTTGGTGAGCTGAGACCAAGGAAGCAGCATGTTGGTGAAATCGGGCGCATAAAGCCTCACGTGGGTTAGCTTTGGGGCGTCCAAGAATAAAGCTGATCGCTGGAACATTTGCGGGAAGTCAATTTCACACAAATGACAGAGTGGTCCGGACAGTTGCGTAGTGCCGAGGAAAGGAATGGCATCGAAGGCCACTGAGATCCTTCGCCACCGATGAGCCGAACCCATGACGATGTCCATGATATTGCTCGTCATCATGATGGGCTCCCGACTTGAAAATCTTGGGCGCACCGTGATGTCAAGAGAGTACGGTGATGAACGTTGGAATAGTGTTTTCGTGGTCTCCAAGTATTGAGGGGAGCAAGCTGGGCCCCTGAGAATCATGGTAGTAGGCCATAAGCGCGGTGCCGTTATGACTAGCTGACGCCAGTAAGAACAGACCGAAGCTAGCCAGAAAACTGGGACGAATGCATCGTTCCCAGAAGAGCTTTCTTGAGATTCGTGGATGACGGCACGAAATATCTCCAAAAGAATGTCGGAGGGCAGCCTTCGAACGGGCGAAACGGCGTATTTCAGTGCAGCAACCCGGGCCACGAGCTGTTGGTGGGTTTGACCCGAAGCGGCTGGCTGCACGTACATTCGAGAAATTTGTCGTTCCGCGTCACGGTCTACAAGAAGGGACTGCGCGTGATCTTCGAACCCGGGTGTGGCAGATTGGGCAAGGATGTCATAGAAAATGTGTGAGTGTGGGGATTGTATTTGTACATGCACGCGCTGCTCCACGTCGTCGCCGCTCCACGTCCATGTCGCCGCTCCTCCACGTCCACTCCATATATCTCCCAAAGAAACGCCATCAGGGAATTTGCGCGATCATGGTCAACGTTGACCAGCGCTTACCAACATCACCAGCGCGGCCATGCTGGTGACCCACTTGGCCAACGCCAAGTGAGTGCTTACCAGGGCGACTCACTTTCGCCATCGTTGGCCAAGTTGTCACCAGCTGGCGGATTTTGAGCCAAACTGCACTGGTTACACAGTATTCAATTGCCTCGGAAACAATGCAATATAATGAAGATGGAGGAGACAATGGATAAATTGAATAAAAAAGTACAGAATGAGATAATGCAACTGTAATCATGGCGCAGGATGCGAACCCTATCCAATGGTAGCACCCATAAGATTCATGTAGTAGTGATCCATACACAATTCTGGGCAGCAGCATTAGGAACGGAAAGTAAGGAACAGCCTGACACTCACCGATACACAACCAATGTCAATCCCTTCCGGAATTCCCCCTCCCAATCACCCTCCGCGCCAACTCGCAAGCATCAATCGTACTCGGATGAGGCGATGATAGAGCTTGTGGCATGTTGATGAGTAACCCTTGACCTGTTTGCGAGGTTTGAGCGCTAGCTTGCGGGTGGTTTGAAGGAGTCAGGGCAGATTGAGGCCTGTAGGGGGTACTTGAGAGCTTGAAGACGACGCTTGAGCTTGTGAGAGGCTTGAGCTTGAGGGAGGCTTGGCATGTAGTCTTGATGAAGGTCCGGGGCGTTCGCTCAAAGAGAGGGGGGGTTGTGGGGGGAAGAGGGGAAGAGGGCGAAGAGGATGAAGGCAGGAAACAACCCATGACGCGTGTGACGACCCGATCAGATTGTCAACAGATCAGTAATCATCACGCCATCGATGCACGTGCTGATACTTTGGACTTAGAATATTTGCCGTTCCTCACGTTGAAAGCAACGGCGGATGTAACCCGACTTGACCCCGACTCAAGATTGTTCAAGTGCAGTATACTTGTAAGTGGATGAAGGCGACACATGTTACAGAGCAGTAATAGCTGATATTATTTATAGTGTGGGCCCCGCTCTGGGCAGCCTGGCGGGATCCTTGACCAGTGCCGGCCAGCAGTCGACCAGGCTTTTGCCAGCATGGCACCGAGTTCATGAGACAGACGGCGTATGATCAGCGATTGCCAAGCCGTCGCCGAGCTGATCTCAGCTGATCAGCGGCACCAACGGACATCAGGGTCGTGCAAATTTCCTGATGGCGCCGGTCTGGGGCACGGACTCGCTTTCGCGTGCTTCGAACCCGGTCGGTACAGATTCACTGACCTAAAATCAAGTCAGTACAGTAAGCAAAGTCAATGCGAAACCTACAATTAAAGCGACTGTTGTGCTTGCCGACACGTCGTCGCTGGGCTCTGAGGAGTCAGCATGAATCCAGGGACGGCGCTGCTGAATACTCAAGTCAATATGAAAAGAAACCCACTCAACTTACCGCGGCTGCCAGTCAAGTCAGCATGCATCTGCAGAAGCACGCAGGACTTACCGGGGGGTTGATATGCCTCCACGTTCAAACGATGCTGACCCGAATCAAAAAGTCAGTAAGCCAAATTAATATCAACAACACCGCACATACCTCCACGCGACGAGCAAGACCATCGCTGGCTTGCTGACACGACTTGCTAACTTTGAGTATAACTGCATACAATGTAAGAGCGTGGAGCTATCAACGCGGAAAACAGAGTGCTTACTACAGAAGGCCGGGGGCAGTTCCCCCATTCAATGCGACTGGAAGTAGCCTCAACGGCACCAAAGGGAGCTACGAACGGCGGTCAGTAAGTCAAATTATGGCCTTGACACAGATATACTCACTCTCGTTCTAGTTCAGCGTCGGGCACAGCTTAAATCCACATAATGTGGAGCCGCGCCGGAAACGCAAGCCGGGGGCAGTCACAGGGTAGAAGTGAGGTCTCGGCACATTGGGCCCAGCGACGGCAGCCAGGGCAGGGCGACACGAACGCGTCGGAAGAAAAGAAGGCGGCGGGTACAGCCTTCAAACACACGTGCCCGTTGACAGCGGCCTTTTGCCCACTATCTCCCGCCCGCCCTGTCGAGCTCGGCCACCTCTCGCGCTCACTCAACCTCAAGGCGGGCCCTTGGCGCTGCCGCGGACGACTGGCCAAAGCGCCGTACTCGACGTCTAGCTACACTACCCGGCCCAACCAACTCTGGCCATGGCGCCAGCGTTCAAGTCACCGGTGCCGCACTACCCCGCCGAACGAGCCGTCTTGCCACCTCTCGCCCTCTGCAGCTGCCACGACCAAAGTCACCCGATCAACCGCTCCGTCTGCGCCGTTTCCGTTTAAAGGTCAGCCTCTCATGACGGCAGAGACGCTTACCTTGGCGACGATAATACCCTCTTCGACGACCCATGCCCGACTGACTCCAACTCCAATGCAAAGGCGTCCGCGAATACAAAACGGGCTTGGCGACGAACTCAATCTCCAGCTCGGCGGCTTGATACTTGACATGCGAGCCTGAAATCATGTTAGTCTGGCAAAGGGGACAACGCGAAAGCAAACCGCAAGCGCGAGTTGGTCAAAATGACAACGAAATCTGCAACGAGGGTCAGCAACGGCGAGGAAGGAGGGGATGGAGGAATGGTACGGAGTCGGCCCCCCTCAACAGCGTGAATCGCAGGAAGGTAGTCGTTGCCCAAATAACTGAAACTGACATTCTCGTTAGCGGGCAAGTCAAGGAACATAACAACGACATCAGTACATACCTCGACAACGGCTACGGCGGGTTAGCAACGGCGATAAACAGCGAGGATGGACGACTGGTTTCGGGTTCGAATCGAGAGGAATCTACGACGAGGGTTAGCAATGGCGGTGGGAACGGCGGATGAGTGGTACACAATTTTCCCCAGTCAACATGCTGGAGCGCGAATTGCACAAAGGTATGATTGCCTTTGGCAAAAGAACTGGATCTGACATTGAAGTCAGCAAGCGAATCACGATATAGCCACCACATGCCTCGAAACAAAGCCAACGAGTGCCGCCAAAATGGCAACAAAATCTACAAAGCGAGTCAGCAACGACGATAAAGAGCGGGGATCACAGAACGGTAGATATTTCGGGTTCGATAGGACGCTAACAATATATAGTCAGTGAACGAGTCAACTAGCATGACTGCCACGCACCACAAGCACGAGCACCACGTCTCATGTGCAGACAACGACAAAAGAGGACTGGCCACGACATCAAAATCTGCCAAAAGGGTTAACAACGGCGATGAAGAAGAGGAAGGGAGAAACGGTTTTGGGTTCAAGGTCGATTGTCGTCGCGCACCTTGAAGTTGAAGAACATAACTGACAAGAGAGTCAGTGAACAAATCAACACGCATGACGAGCACATACCTCACATAAATGGCCGATCCTCAACGACCTGTGCCGCATCCCAACTCCAAACGACGACAAAATCTGCAACGATGGTTAGCAATGGAGATGAGGAGGGGAGATCGAGGAACGGTACAGATTTTGGCCTTGTATCGCGGAGGAACTAATGTCGCAGTCAGCGACCACCTCTTCCAACCCGCAAACGCCCAGCGACCAGCATCAAGGCCTTGACTCTAGCCAACAGTCATCGTACTTCAAATGGATGGGGAGGACAAACGAAGAAGTGGTCAAACAGATGGGGCAGAAAGCTAAACGGGGTGAGTGTCTTGTTCGAGGAGTGTATAGCGGGACTGACTTGTGTGCGGCGACATTGTGGAACCAGATGCAATGGAGGAGGAGAAGAGCAACGAGCGGGGGGTATGAGACGCCCGTATTCGACGCAAAGTCAACCAACACGTGCTGGCTGACTTTGCGCTGAATCGGGGTCAGAGCGAACAGTGAGGGGAGAAGGGTCCTTAATCGGCTTCCGCCATCGTTACCCGTTGAGTTGATGCGCGAAGATGGGTTTCTTGCTGTTGACTCGAATTTGTTTCCATCGCGAGGGGCGATAGGCTGCGGATGCCTCGGGGCAGCTCTGGCAAACGATTATGTAAAATTACTTTGAATTGACCCAAGCGGAAGACGGCGGGGGAGATGAGCCCTTGCTTTCCCGGGGGAATTGCCTCATTTGGTTTTGGATGTGAGTGGTGATGGCCACAGAAAGTTGAGCGCCGAGAGGTGAAGTGGCCCCGAGAAAATTTGGCGCGCTGCCCATCGAAAACGCGTGAGTTTCGCGGAATCATTGGTGCCAAATTGGTCCAAAAAGGAAAATATCTTGAAGTTATATTTATCTCCCGGCGATCAACCGTCTGGCAATGGCGGCACTGGCCTTGCGAAAAAGCCTCACAACAAAAACGTTTCAAATGCGAGGCCTCCGAATCTGACAGCGTCACACGGACAGCAACTCCTGCTTCCAACTCCGAACTTGAATACGCGAGGTCGTTCCAGAAGTGCCACTCCAACGGCAAATGTACCACCACAAACACCGGTAGTCGGCAGTACTAGTGGTGCCGAGCGTGGGTTCTCAAGTGTCGGTGAGCCTTATATCTTGTTTTTGCTCTTTCTGCTAGTTACTCATCTATCTTTACTATGCACAGTGCCACAAAAACGTCGTTCGACGGACGACAACGTGAACGCGAATGCGAATTCGAATACTCAAACTCGCCCCCCACTATCCGAGCGGAATCCAGTAGCAAAACGACAGCGATTCTCGACTCTCGAACGATTAGAGCGCGACTCCCATACTCTGAGCAACCAACACATCGACGTCCCACCACTCGCCATGCTGGACCGGCAGATGTTGGTCGTAATCCCATGGCTCCCCCAGTCACAGGCCTCGCTGGTGTAGGTTTATCAATCTCTTCAAGCTCGGAACTCATCCCTCTTAGCGGAAGCGGCGAGCGGACTTGGAGGAGAACCAAACTGAACCGTGACTTCCGCAACCACAACTTCAACCTGAAGCGGTACCTCCAAGCTTAAGGTTGTCGCTCGCTACCTTGGTCGATCTTCCTCCTCCAGCCCAGACGCCAGCCGTATCATACAATAGCCTGAGCCAGCAATACCGTCAGGCGCTGGATACTGGTACCGACGACGAGGATGTCGATGATGCTCAAGCCCATGACCATCGTGATTCTTCTGAAACATGATGAAAGCGACAATGGTTACCCTCGACTTCATGGTATTAAACCCTTTTTTTAATTCTACAGTTTGAACTCCATCCAGGATATGGTTCCAATAACCAGGGCGACTACGACATTATAACACAAGGCTATGAGGAATACCCCTCGGTATGTATTAGTTTCACGACCGTGATTCGCTGCTGACGCATAGCAGCTGCGAGAAATGTCATATTCCGATTTGTTTGACGCGCAAAACCATCAGTCTTCGTTACAACATACTTCAAACCTAGACACGCCCTCGGAAATTGCGTCAAGCTCAAATTTCGAGTTGGTTTGTGACTCTGTTATCATTCGAGTTCAAGCCCGCTTATCTGACCGTACAGCTTCAGTGGCCATCGCAATCTGCCAGCGCAACTTACCCCACGGCTTCACCACCCGGCTTTCCACTCACGTATACGAGTACCGGGCCGACACATCTGAACTCGACCCAAAGCATCAACTTCCAAAATTCGACAACGCCCTCCAATGTCACTTCAAATTCAAATACTAGTACACTTGTTGCTTCATCTTCCTCTCAGCTTATCCAACAACGACAACCATCTGCTATGAACCAAACCTCAAGTACAACAGGTCAGTTGGACAACAAGTCTGTTGAATTTTGCTTACGCTTACAGCTTTGGCGCAATGTCGTGCGCTCTCACCTCAAGGCCCGCCGCAACTGTATGTCACACAAGTCGACACGGAAACAAATGCCCACCATCAATCGCCTGGCCCGGGGGGTAAGCATTCACGACCAATTGTATAATCTACGCTGAGTCGCATGAACAGGAACAACCATCTTATTTGGATGCCGAGCATGGATTATGCCCACCACGTTCACAAGGAAGCGATAGGTCTCAAGGCAGCGGCAACTCTGCTGTGAGTATTGTTCACGCTCGTCTTGTCTTACTGATTGTTGTATTAGAGCTCGTACCGTCCGGCGTCTGGTTTCGAGGTATCTAATCTCTTCGTATGTGTCAAGTACATGACAAGTGTCAGGATGGAATTGAAAATGACGTCGTTCACCAACATTGGCAAAAGAATGGTGCCCCTCGAGCTCCCCATCCCAATTATCTCGACATTTGCCGTGCTCGTCAGCAAGCTTTAACATCTCCCTCAATCGCAGGTTTTTCAAATGGTGGGGATAGTGTCGCCACTGACGGAAAATCTCGTCGTCGAGCGGCCCGAAACTCAGTGAAAGGACCTGATCCTTCTAACGACAGCAACCTCAGTTTCTATGCCAAGACGCCAATAACATACAAAACACTCACGGCAGCCACCCGGAATCAGTCCCGCCTTCCGTGGACAACCACAGGTCCCAGCTTGGATCTGAAATCGAGTCCGAGTCCCACTTGGGCTCGCTGGGATTCATCTACCAGGCAACAACAGGCGCGACGAGCAACGACGGCAGCCACCCGGAATCAATCCCGCCTTCCGTTGACAACCACAGGTCTCAGCTTGGATCTGAAATCGAGTCCGAGTCTCACTTGGGCTTGCTGGGATTCCTCTACCAGGCAACAACAGACACGACGAGCAACGACGTGAGCCACCCGCAGTCAGTCCCGCCTTCCGTGGACAACGACGGGTTTGAACTTGAACCAACGTCTTCCTGTTCGAATTATGTGGAGATTTACCCGACTAGCCAAGAGACCCAACAATTTAGTCTGTCTTATCCATCTATCTGCCGATGGACCATGGTCCTAATCCATATTTCAGAGGAAGATTTCGCATATGTAACGAAGCATCTTTCTGTTCCCGGGCCGGCGACAAAGGACAGCTTTGCCATGTGCATGCAACACGTAAATGACCTGACTAGGACTGCATTCAAGTTCTTTCTAATGACTGTCGTCAGCGATTTCGAAGGGAACCAGCAAACATACCATCCAGCAGTAACCAGCGATTTCAAGGGGAACCGGCAAATGTACCATCCAGCAGCAGTAACCAGAGCACTGGCAGCAACCACTCGAACTCGGGTATGGAAACTCTTATCTATGTTGTCACGGTTTCAAGTTTTTGATCTCATGAAAAGGTTATTCCTTGCTAACGCACAACGTGAATAAGCGCAATAGGCGGGGTCGACCTTCCATACACATCACCATCGGAGAAGCCGAGGCGGGCAGGAAACGTGACAAAATCCCCCTCCCAGCTTCTGCCTCCCCCGCACTTATTAGGCTCTGCAATGAAGCTTTCGATATTGACACATCCTATCTAGCCATTGTGGATTACCGGGGGTCATCCGATGGAGATGAGCTCTTAGGAAGAACCAGGTTTTTCTTGGCTCTACGAGGCATCCATGTCAGAGAAGAGGGTATGCAATCTTTCATTCGTTCCTCTGATATCCAGTTAACGAACAATTGGCAGAGCTAACGATTTCTCTAAAGGCAACCATCTTATCAACCGCAAGTTGTTTCGTTTCTGCTCAAGGAAGTGGTGAGGTTGATTTCCTCCTAGATCCGGTTCGCGAGACCAACTGCTATGCATAATCTCCGAAAACTCAGTCTGGGGTATACTTGGAAGATGGTCAAAGCGGCGGATGGAAGATGTGCCCCGGAATCCGTCAGGAAAGCCAGATGGCTTCTCGACTCCTTGCAGTTTCCTAACGCCAGAGACTATGTAGGTTTTTATTTCTTATCTGATGCATTCCCGTTGATGAATTCCAGCCAACAGTGAACGGTATCGTAACTTGTGAGTGTATCCCCCTCGTATGACACCATGATAATCCCATCAAACAGTCCCCCCGGCAGCAGGGGACGTCCCCACCGGCGCTACCATGATAGCACAGGCCAACGCAAACCTTCCTAAGACAGGAAGATTCATCAACCCAGTTTTTGGGAACATGGTGTGGGCCTTGGCGATCCACCACTGCGTCTACGAGCGGAATCCAGAAATGTTTCGCAACGTCGAAGTCTTTCCCGAAAATATCATCATTTTGTCGTTCTTATCGGTTTATCCTCATTCTCATTCACAATTTTTTGGCTCATCGATTACATAGGCAGTCAATATTCTGTTGAGTGTTGGTCGGAATTCCAAAATCAAGCTTAGGTTTGAATTCCAAGAGACGTCAGAGCTTCACAATTTTGTGGTGTCATCAATCCAAACCATTAAAGCAAATCCGGTCTATCGCGTCCCATATAACATCTGGCTAACGAAAATAATCGACGCTCTTCCTTCAAGTTCAAATTCTCGGTATGTCTGTCCACGTGGGATGGATGGAGAAGACTACTGAAATACACCTAAAGTGATGGCATGTCGCCTCCCTTTCCAGTAGATGAGTAGTGGTTGTCGCTGAGGAAGAGTAGGGATTTGTGTATCACTTTGTTGACAATCTACAAGAGTATCCAAGTTATCGCATCTGAGTCATTTCAATCATGGTGTGACATCATGATGATCTGGTCACAGTTGAACTGTCCTTGCTCCCTTGCTCGATTTCTTCTTAACGCAATGCATCCATATCCTCCTTCAAGTTAGTGAATGGTATGTCTGTTTCTATCACAAGAAAGAGTTTTCGTTGTTTAATTTTGGGGGTTAGACCAGTCCCCGTCACATAGAGAAATCCTTCAAGTCACGATGTCTCTGTACACCGCTGTTCAACCAGTCTTTCGTCTGACCCAAGACAACCAGTCTTTCTTGACCACAACTTACCTCCGCAGTTCTACTATCCAACCTCCGCACAGGGAAATCCTCCAAGTACAGACTTCCACTTCTCTGACATCACCTCTACCTCAACAACCATGGCATGCTGAAGCCCTTCCTGAACCTGCATACTATGCAGGTATAGATCTGAATGGTTACCAACCGCCGATGTCTCCCTATACCGCTGTTCAACCAGCCCGGTCATCTGACCTAATGCCATCGGTCTTTTTCGACTACAACTTGCCTCCGCCATTCCACTATCCAGCCTCTCCTATGCTTTATCAGCCGCTGTCACCTACGAATCCATCGCTCTCTCCCATGGGTTATCCTCCTCAGCCAGATTACGGGAACCAAATGCTCAATATGTACGGTAGTAGGCCTGGGTTTAGTATGATGGCCTGTGGAGATCGCCGATTCGAAACCCAAGAAGCACCCTCGTTTAAGATCCTACATGCCTTTCGTTTGGCAAAAGGCAAGAAATGGAAGCTCAAGAACCTCAAAGGTCATATCGTCGAATTCAGCACTGATCAACATGGATCACGTTTCATTCAAACCGAGCTCAATAATGCCACAAGTGAAGAAATCCAGATCGTATTTGATGAAATCGTCCCCGACAATACGTTACATCTAATTCAAGATGTTTTCGGTAATTACGTGCGTTGCTTCAACTTTTGCTGTCTCCAGCTTACAAATCTGTTCACCGCAGGTAATTCAGAAGCTACTGGAGCATGGTACACAGGCCCACAAAGACGCTCTTGTTGGTGCCATGGAAGGCCATATCATCTACCTATCATCCAATGTCTATGGCTGCTACGTCGTGCAAAAAGTCAGTTGACGTCCAACCAACTTACGAATAGCTAACAACCATGAAAGGCTTTTGAATGTGTAACTCCAGAGCAGCAAGCCAAGTTTGTCCAAGAACTCGAGCCCCATATTCTCAGATGTGTCAGAGACTCGAACGGGAACCATGTAGGTGATCTACCTAGAGAATGAGCATGACTGATTTACATTAAGGTCATTCAGAAGGTTATCGAACGAGTTTCCCCTGACCGACTTGGTTGCATTTCAACATTTGTCGGCCACGCCCATGAGCTCGCTTCTCATCCATTTGGCTGTCGTGTCTTGCAACAGTGTCTCCGTCACCTTCCCGAACCATACACCCGGCCACTTCTCGATGAACTGCTCAAAGGTCATACTGCTAATCTCATGCAAGATCAATTTGGCGTCAGTGCTAGTACTTGCCTTTCTTTGTTCCCTCTTGGCTTATTGCGTTGGCTGTAGAACTATGTTGTCCAGTCCATCCTGGAGAACGGATTGCCCCACGACCGATCATCCATCATTACTCAGCTTCGTGGGTGCATGTTATCAATGGCTTGCCAGAAGTTCGCCTCCAATGTCTGTGAGAAGGCGATGATCTTTGCCGACTCAGATGGTCGCAAGGCAATAATCGAAGAGCTAATGGGACCAGCTTTGCGACCTAATGGCCCGACGCCAATTGGGTTGCTCATGAAGGATCAATATGGCAGTGAGTTTTCCAACTAAGAAGTCCGCGATCAACCTTCTCACTCGTGATTCAGATTATGTTCTCCAACGAGCGCTTGCCGTAGCGGAAGGCAAGCAGAAAGAAGCCCTAACCAATGCCATACATCCTCAACTGGCTACTATGCGCAAACATGCGACTGCTTACAGCAAACATCTTACCTCTAGTTCGATTCTCGCTCATTTTCTTTGTATTTTTATGTTAATCTTCCCTATAGTCGAACGGGAATTGCAGAAACACGCACCCAAGCCCGATTGTGCATAATTCTTGTCTGAAGCAATACCGCACCACACAAACTATTAATTCGTTCTTGCTGTGTATGTCTTGTTTTCGTAGAGTCATCACTCGTAGCATAGTCAAGCAAATACTAATGGTCAATCTGCGAGGCTTGGAAATAGTCGCAGTTGAAAAATCTTGAAGAGTGTCTCTGATCGTACATCCGCTGATGTGTTGCATCATGATTCTGGTTCATGGTTTGCACCGTCTCTTCTCTCTTCACGCTGCCTCGCTCTTTGGTGTCGACAACCAGGACTCCAACGACGTTTTTGCGTCGCTGGTCGGCGATGGAGTGGCTCCAGACTCTTCCAACTTTCCAGTACTGACTTGGTTTTTCAAGAACTTGAAGCTCCGGTTGAGCCTGCCAAGAAAACTGCCACCCTTTCGACGGTCGGCCACTAATTTCCACTCCTGCTTATTCTGACACACCCTACAGCTGGCCTATAACCAACCGCTGCCAACCTTCTGTAATCGCTTTACCCAAGAAAGCTCTGACAGTTGTGGACGTTCCAGGCCACCCTCGCATCCGAAACCAAGTCAATGAGTTCATCACCGACGCCAAAGGGATTGCCTTCGCGATCACGTCTCTGCCCCGTCGCAGGTCTTGTCCTCGTTGGTGATTCTTGCGCATAAGTCAAGTCTATAGCGCCTCGTCAGCGACACAAGCCATCAGCAGGGTCAGAAGCATCCTCGAAAGAGAACTAGAGAAACGGAGACGAGCGCAGTGGGGGGTGGCCATGGGCCTCAGCTAGAGCATTACAATCCCAGGTCCGTTTATCAGGCTCTACAGTCGGAGAATGCTGAAGTAGACATCAGATTTCAATGACGACGAGTTCAACAGCACTCCCATTCCATTCGGTAGAACTGGTGGGCATGGACTTTTTTGGAGGGTTCGGTACAGGCCAAGACTCACCCACGACCGTGATTGACCGTGGCGCGTTCTTTTCTTTCCATTCAAGAGGAGATTGAGTAGCATCGGAGGATTATGGCACATCCAAACCGTCAACACCATTCTCACACTCGATACATTCTTCCATTGCGGCCCCTACTGGTTTCACGAAGAAGAGCTCGTTTGCCTTCATTCGTGCTGCTTTCAAAAGCGATGCCAAATTGCTCGAATACTTCCTTAAACCACACTTCGAGAGCACCCAGTGAGGTAACAGCCAGTCCACCATACAACCGACCAGCAACCAAGACTAAAGGGCATGGATACGCGAAATCGAATCACTCTCAGACTGGATCTATATTCCATTATTCTGATGGAGGCAGCGATTATGGTCCCAATCTCCTCTCCACCCCCTGTCCCACGTTCCAAACCTTTTGTAAGCCTAGTGAAGTTCATGAAGTTTTTAACCAATCGATACTGACAGGACCACGAACCATTGCTCGTCGATTTTATGGGTCCCAGTGTTGATTTCAAGTTCGACGATGTCCTCGACAGGACACACACACACAATCGCAGCTCGGTTGCACGATGTCCCTGCACTTTTGAAGGAGAGGAAATCGCTTGCCTCCATTTACGTCATGTGTCAAGCACTCATAGCAGTTCTGCAGTCTCTTTCAAAGGATGCGTTAGGAGAGACCATGGGCTTAGCTCGGAAGAGACGACATTTGAACAGTTCCGCAAACAGTTCCGCAAACCCGATCTAAAGCTTTTGAGCCAGTCAGCCAACCATCAAATGAACGCAGAGCTTTACTCGACATTGCTGGGACATCTCGCAAATGTTCGGTGAGTGTCAAAGCCAGTGGCTCCCTCCCTCTCATGATTGGATAGTTTCGTGTGTAACAGATTGTTTCTTGGCAGAGCTCAGGCCCGTGGCTCATGGCCAGGTCCCTAAAGACCTTGACATGAAGTATGAAAATCTGGTGAAGGGATTAAACCGTATTCAAATCAAGGTCCTTAAATTCTGGTGTCCCCCGATTCGCCCTGACTCCCCCATTGTCGAAGTCGTTCGTTCAGGCGCATGGGTTTAGACTGAAGATCGCTTTTGCGGACATTCTGGTCAAGCTTATGCATCCTATCAGCAAGGTGCATATTCTTTTGCTGTCGTTGACGGCAATCTTATAACTAGACTGCGCAAGCAGAGACCAATAATCCGCAATGGGCTAAAGCAATTGAAATGATTTATCCCAAAGCCAGAGAAATGGTGGCGAAACCGCGTTCTACCGTTGCCAAGAATCTGCGTCAACCACACAAACGAAGCTCGACACGCTGTTACGCCATTTTTTCCCGCGAAACGAGTGGCAGTCTACCCAGTTGATGACCATCTTGAGCCTTTCATCTACATCATGCAAGAACCTGCCATCAGCCAATCCGGAACATTATAACCAGCTTGCTCCTGAACGCACTGCAATCACAATCCAAGCCATTTTACTGTCCATTCATGGAATAGAGCAAGACTCTCCAACACCAATGGCTCCAACGATTTTACCGTCTTGGGAAGACTATCCCTCGTCTTCTGAGTTTATCCCGCCCGCCTTCCTTGCGCATGCAAGGCTTTTTTGATCGCTGTGGTTCCGCCTTGGTCACAATCGCGACCACATGGTCATTTGACGGACAATAGTCATACGCTCGCATCAACCCAGCGTAAGAGGAATCACACAACTACGCAATTCGCCGAAGGTTCATGTCTGACTCTATGGCTGCTACCATAGTCATCGCATCGGGAGGCTCACCCACTTCCTGTCGACCTGCAACACATAACACGCGAAGGTTCTGGATTGAAGCTACTCATCAATTCAGCCTCCCTACTGAATCTGTGGTATAACCTGGTGAATACTTGGGTCAACGATCTCCTTGGTCGAACCCCCTGAGTCGCTTGCGGAGGATGAAGCCGCCATCTTTGACTGCTGCAACGGGGTGGAGTCTGGTGGATTATTTCGTTCGTCTTCCGAAGCGTGGTCATTGCAAAGTCATTCGCCTCCTTGGTCAACTTGCTGCCAAATTCTTGTCAGACCCACTCTCCCCTTCAGACCCCTCTTGTCGAACTCCTTCAAGGCAAGGGGGGAACAAATCATATCTGAAAGGCTTTGAAGGGCTGCTTGACAAACCCGATATCGTCCCACCATCTCGCATGTTGCTGGTCTCACCATTCGGTCACTGCAGGGATGACAAATCGAACACCGGGTACGGTGTATATGCCCCCGGCCAATCCTTACACTCCCTCGACTCCGGCACAGTCGACCTTCAACGCCTATGCACCACCAGTGCCGTCTCCGTCGACGCCATACTCGCCACAATACTCTGCAGCCTAGACAAACCGTTATGAGACGACCACGACGCCATTTTCAGCCCAAAATGTCGCCTGATCCTGCTACCTCAACGCTGAATCTTAAATATTGAATGCACATGGCCCGCCAATATTTACCAGTTCTCGCAGACAACCATCGGCGACCTGCCAGAACTCGGCATACGCGAGATATGCCCTCACCCCTTCCTCCTGCCCCACCGCCGCCTCCACCAGAACGGGCCAGTCCAGTTCCAAATTGGTCAGCACCACATATGGCTTTGTCACCGTATGGTGCATATGCGGAACCGCCTATTCCCGCCGCATTTACAGCAAAAACTTTACCTCCCCTGCTCTGCCACGTACCTCGCAGTCCTGTCAGAACCAAAGACTCCGAAGCGGGGTTTCGATTGCAGGACTTGAGACCTTGGGCCCAAGCAAAGAGAGGCAGATGGATACATACCGTTCGACTGTGCGTTGCAAAAAGGCATGTATGGAATGTATAGATTCGAAGAGTGAAAATGGTGTCACGTTTGAATCAACTTGGCCTTTGACAGCCACATACTGCAGTCCTTTCCATGTTAAATCTCAGTTTCTTGCCACTCAAATCGTGTGGCTCATCTAAGGATTAACGGCCGTCGGCGCCTAATTAGGAAGTTGTTGATCATCATGTGACTTCGGAGCCAAATGTGAGGCAAGTGCAGAGAAGTCTTTCTGCCACTCAACTGAGCTATTTAGAGCCGGAAAGCACTAGGAAAATGGCCAAGGTACATAGGATTGGGGCTAAGTACATGTATATATCTATAATCTAAGAGCTTAAACAACACAGGTGGCACTGGTTGTGTTGGTTCAGAGGGACTGGTGGCAGCAATTCTGGGGCTCAGGTATTGGGGGCTTGGGCATTGGTGCATGCTAGTGGGAGATGTGAAGGTACTGTAGCTACACAGCCAATACTACTAACAACACTGGAGGTTATTCACAAACTGATTTTAAGTTCACAATCAATTGAAAGATTGTGCTTATGGGCGTGCAAAAATTGGATCTGATAGTCACGCTGTCACACCTTGCGGCACACTTGGCCACCCACACACACTGCATTAGGCAAAATATATCTTGTTGATGAAATGGTCACTGAAACAGTCAGGGAAAACTGGAAGTGACCTGATTGGAATGGCACATTTGGCCTGCTCAGCCACTCCAATCAGGTCACTTCCAGTTTCCCCCACAATTTCAGTGACTGTTTCACTAACAAGATATATTTTTCCTAACCCAGTGTGACAGCCTTGATTCAAAAATGTTTAGGTGGGAAACATTAGTAGGAATATATAAAGTTTTGCAATTAATTTTTTTATTGTGTACAAAACTTTTGAGTTTTTTCTGCCCAAAAAATGTTGACTTGGCTGGGGCAAAAGGATTTTAGGACCAAAATATCTCATGTTTTGCAATGAGTTTTTGGGCCAAGAAAAAACTTTATATATTCCCACTAACGTCATATCGGGGTTTTGTGCCAAAACGGTCACCTGAAGCTGGATTTATATAGCAGAGATCAGGGTCCAAATCAGTGGCCTAGATTCCGGATAAATTAAAGGCCCTGATTGTTGGGCACATGACGTCCAAATTACCAAATAAGGTAATTTCGACGTCACGTGCTCGTGGATCTCCAGCACTGATTTGTTGGAAATTGGGTGCCCATATTTAGCACCTGATTTCTCACAAAAAAGTCCAGCTCCGGATCGCCGTTTTTGCATGAAACCCCGATGT